ACAGGACTCGTTTTCTTGTACCTCCCCAACTCCAAGTATACATATGCAGGAAGGAGCAGGAAATTTTCACCTGACCTTGTACTTGCCCACATGGGCAAGTGGACCTACGGTGACTCCTACTTGTTGATCCTTGCACCTGAGGTTACCAGTGACACAGTGCTTTCAACAGGCCTTTGCACATTCATCTGAGTCACTGATAGCACTGCCTTGTGATCACAGTTCGCCCTGTGACAGCTGCAAGGGGTCAGGGGTGGGAGAGGGATCTGATACTGGAGCCTCACTTATAAGGATGTAGCAATGTCTGTGGCCTTAGAGGAGGGGCTTGGAAGAAACCTATTCTCCTGGAGATGCTCTCCTGAGACCATAGGATTAATTAGCTTAATATGTACCTGTTTCTTGCTTTTATTTCCTTGACATTATCGCAACATAAAATAGAAGTTGAGGAGAAAAAAGAAAGAGATGCTCTGTAAGCAGTTGAGCTTTCCCATGGAAGTTTGTCAAAACGGATGGCTGCCAGCATTTCAAGAACTCAACAACCCTATCTAGACTCTGATCTAGATATGGTCAGGAATGAGAGTTGCACCTCTAGATACAGACTATAGAAAGATGGAAAGAAGACTTCAGGCCCTATTTTAACAGCAGATCAACAGGCAACCTACTGAATATTAAAGCTTTCTTCAAAGAACTGTTGAGACATTATTAGGCCAAGTTCAGTGTAATGTTATTGGCATGTAAGGCTCTTTACCTCCTGGGACAGGTTCCCCAAGGCAGTATTTTTTTTCCTTATCAGTTTGTCCATTAAGATATGGACAAATCTTATGTCTCATGATTTTCTGTCTTCAGCATTTGTACAGTTCAGTAGGTATGGGTGAGTCTTTTTGGTTGTGACACCCACCGTTGGAATTCTCTCTCCCTGCAGTATTTAGAGCACCACTGTTGATGGTGTTTTGGCACCTTTTAAAAACTTATTTGTTTAACCAAGCACCTGCTTATTTTTATGCCTACAAAGCAATATATTATCTTTTATTATAAGTTTATATATTTATTTTAATTATATTATCAAATTTAGTCCCTTGCACAATTTTTAAATGAAAGATAGCAAATTAATATTTTACATGAATAAAAATCACTATTTACATTGTCATGTAAAATTTGTATCCATTTTATCACAACTACTTTTGTTATCAACATTCCCATGCTAGTTATACATCCTCAGAATCAATGTTAATGGAAGATTTCTTCCAAATTTCTTTTGCCACCACAACTCATTTATAAAATCCTGGACTTCAACTTGAACAGAAACCTTGACTTCAAGTGTGCAACTAATCTAATCACTAATTGAGCAAGAAAATGAAACAAAAGATGACTAAAATATATGCCAGGTGATTTAGTCATATGGATATGTACACGTGCGCGCGCGCGCGCGCACACACACACACACACACACACACACACAAGAACAGAAGTCCAAGATTACTGAATGTGTAAACTATTGAAGTGTCACAGGTTTATTCAACACAACTGCAACCTCTGCCAGCTCATGGCAGGAACCCAGCAATGTTTATCTGATAGCAATGGATAGAACATAAAGAATTGGAAGCAAGATATCTCATGTGTTCATATCCCATTAACGCTTGTTCCTGGCACCTTTATCACAAACTAGAATTCAATAACGTAACAACCTACTACAATGGTTTCTACACTTTGAACAATTTTAAGATCACTACAGTGAAACATGAGCATTTCCTTTCTACAAGGAGAATTGTTTGCATAGTTATTTCTACTGCTGATCTTTGCAGTAAATAAAGCTTTTGAATGTTTAATTTACTGTGGATGATTGCAGCGTCTCTTTCCCCACAGTTAGTGATGAATCTGTAAAATATCATAGCTCTTCTAAGACTGCCTAAAAGACTATTTGGGGGATAATATCTGGACTCAAGGGAAAGAGAAATATCACATTTTAAATGATTTACAGAACTATAACGTAAGTAAACATTTATTTAAAATATATTCATCCCCTTTCCTTGCCAAATTCTTTCTTAAAAGGAGTCTCTGGATTAATCTGATCTGCAGGACAATATTCTAACATGAGATTCTGCATGTTTTATGTGAAAGAGCACATTACTGTTTCATACCAGCTGCTTCAACAGGGATGAAATGTGCAAGCCTTTTGTCACAAGAGGAACTTCTGTCCCCCCAAAATGCTTCTGCCTGGCCAATTCTAGAAAAGTTTCAATTTCTTTGATCCCTTTGATGACTAATTAGCAACTTTCTATTCTATTCAATTTTGGTACACCAAGCATGCAGCTGTTCCTCTTTTATAAGGATGTTGGAGAAACTCACACTTCTGGGCTCAAAAGTTCTAGTCTGTAACTCTTCCTCAAATAAGAAACAAGCATTATGACTCCTGCATGCTTTTCTGGATCAGAAAAGCTAAAGAATAATGTCCCTTCCTTACACCTGGCCTCCAGCCTCCCAAACTCCTTTCCCAGTCCTCAGCAATCATCCTGTTCCATGTTCCCCCCCTCCACCAAACACAGTACAGTGGCAGCAATCCACAGGGAAAAGGAAGGTATGGCTGCCCCAGTTCTCCCCATCACCAGTGAGATGCAATAAAAGAAAGAGAAGGCATGGAGATTGGGATCAGGCCAGAAGGTGGCAGACACCGTCCCTCATCCTTCTTGCAGGTTGCCACTGCTTTCTGCAAGAGGCTTACCATCTCTCCCGCCTGGTGAATGGGACAGAGGGAAGTGGAAGGAAATGGGGGCAGCGATGGAAACGATAACATCTGGAGAAGTCCTTAGAAAACTTCATAGTGATTGACAATAGGGCAGAGTCAACTCACCATGAACAAACCATATTTTATTTTATTTTATTTTAATTTTCTTTTATACTTTCCCAAAGTCTGGTCACTTGAAAGCTGAGTCTTTGAACTCAGGAAGCAGGTTTCATACAATCTTCTGGTATTCTTCATAGTCCCTTTGCAATACACTAAGTATTTCATAATATACAGATTAAAAGAGACAAAGAAGTGCCCATTACTCTATGTTTAGCAATAGGCTATGCTTAACTCTATTTATACTGAGAAAATCAGAAACCTACCCCTGAAGTCTAGACACGGAATGATAAATAGTCTACATGTAGTCTAATAATGTCTGACTATTGATGCTGTGGCTTAGTGTATGTTTTAACAACGAGGACTAGGACAGGGTTAAAGCCAACTTTTTTCTTGAACAGATGATATTTCAGATGGCGACACTATTCCAGATGCATCAATTTCCTTGAAAATCGAATCCATATATGTGCATATGCTGTGCTGGCAGGAGGACTGCCTGAAATGGCCCTAGCCCAAGAGCTAATATTCTTTTGGCCAGAATAATGCAATTATTATTTTCCTAGCTATCAGTCTAAGCATACAGAGCCATCTGTTATGCAAAGGAAACATACACATCTCAATTACAGAAAATGCAGTTGCCTTGACAGAATTTGGATTACACTACTAACCAGGGCTGTAAAATTTGTTTTAAGCTAGTGTATAATGGATGCCTTTCAGGAGTTCCCTAATTAGCATTTACCTGTTTAAACTAATTATTCATCCTTCTTTTTGCTGTTTTATTAAACTTTGTTGGACACAATGCATAAAACAGATTACAGTGAACATAAGACAATAATGTTAATGTGATGTGTGTATTTTTAAAAACTGCATAAAGAGGGTTGCATCATTTGAAGGCAGCCTAAAAATAACGTTATATCCATATATATTGTATATACCCATGTGGCTTAACATTTCATGGAATATGAAACTTTTGATACTAGCATGAAAAGTGATCAAGGCAGGCATTAAAACCTATGACAAGTCTTTGCCATATAATAACATATAAATATAAATTGAATTTTGTTCTTAATTCTCTAATATTGTTTTCTAAAAAAATCCACATAACCTGGTGCTTTCCAGCATGTGGAGCTACAACTCCACTGGTCTTGTTGGTCAGAGATGGCTGTCTCCTTTGCTTTAAGAAAGTAAAGGTTTACTTTATTGCCTCCAATACCATTTGCATCTTTTTTCCCCCACAGATATTTCTCAGACATCTTTTTATTGTACCGGGACAGCATTTTCCAATTACTTTGGGGCAACACATTCCAAAGCACAAGATTATGAAAAGTTCCAGTCTTGAGAAGTGTCTCCTAACAACCATGGCAACACAAGCAATGAATTCGATATGGGGCCAGTGCCAAACCTGGAGACGCAAGCATTCCCGCAACCGCTGAGCTTCTTAAGGGTGACTGTACCAAGGCAGAGGATCCTACTTTGCAACTCATCATGCAAAAACATCTCCACATGTTCCTAAATCTGTATCAGGAGGGTTCAGGTTCACCGGGTAGCAAATGCTACTGAAAGCCCAGCCATTAGTGATAAACAAAAAGAAATTATGCTATTTCACTGCAATATTAGATTCCTGAAAAATGCCAGTAATTAAGCAACAACTATTTTATTAAAAATGTCCTCTACACATTTACTGAACATGGGTGAAAGCAGCAGAATGTGTCCTTGTTGAAACCCTCTCTGCAAGTCATTTTAATGGTCTCTTTCAGCATTTCTTGACTCCAAATGACTCCTTGTCATTGTGTCAGCTCCCAGGATAATGCAGAGTACTCCATAAACATTCAGTAATAGGACACAAGGGAAGTACTATTAGTGTGTCCCTTTCCTACCTGGTACTGAGGTTTAAAGTTCAAAACAACTGAGAAAAGAAACCTCATTTGTTCTCAATAAATTAATAATGATCCTTTGTGGAAGAAAAAAGTTTTTCAAGCTCAGTTCTTCTCCCCCACCTGCTGCCCCCATCTGAGCATTCTATATACCGAGTCAAACTTTTCAATTCTTTGAAAACACACTGAAGTTAAATTACAGATTGAAAACATGAAGAAGTTGCAAAACAGATTATTGCTTTCAAAACGAGCACGAGACTGAAACACACACCATTAACATTTCTACTTACCTGAGATAGGCCAAGATAGATGGAGACTGTTTCCGAAATGTACAAAAATTTTCCCTCTTGGTTTAGTGCAAATACAAATCCATCCAGTGACTGAAAAGTCAGAAAAAATGAGGTTTGTTATACAGTGATACACATTTCAGAAACAGATAAAGCACAGGCATCACATACTCAAACTACTTTTTTTACTGAAATTAAAATACATGACCATTCATAATACTTGTATTTCTGTTCCACACAGAAATGAAAATAATTTCACTGAGAAAAAATAGCAAAGAGAACCACTGTTGATGGTAGCAATTTGCTAATTAATATGGGATAATAGTCCTCCTCGTCATTCATGAATCTACCCACACCTTTTTGTGTGAGTACAAACAAAGCCAATCAACAGATTACTGTTAGATCTGTTCACCCCTGGAGTCCCCAGAAAAATCATGACTTTAATCTCTTCAATGTCAATTCATAGATTTAAATTATGTTTTGAGAGATGTAAGACTTTAGGTATGGATGCCAGAATAATTTATTAAAGATCGTGTGCCATCGTTATATGCACATTGATGAAAGCTGCCTGAAACATGTTATCAATTAACAAACAAAAGGCCTATTTTTTAACTGAAACACCAGAGTACAACGAATGCACTTTTTTCCCCTGGGAGGATAAATATGCATCCAGCAGTGCACTGGGCTTAATGGTTATTGGGGGGGGGGGGGGAACGGACGAACGACGACATGTATTTTATTTCAGCTGTGGAAAACACTGCAATTAATATTTCTTTTCCCTCTTGCCACCACCATTCCAAGTTTTACAACTACTTCAGCAGCAATGATACGTTAGAACAAAAAAAATAATCAAAATAAACTGTCAGCCAAAATTAAAGAAAAGAGGAAATACTCTGAGCGTGTGCAGTTTCACATTTAAATTCACTTAAACTACAATACCATAACAACTCCAGAAACAAAATAGAGTTGGCTTCTGTTGCCCCAATGAAAATCACATTTACCTGAGAATAAGAACCATTTTGTTCTTATGCTTTGAATGTCCCAAAATGCAATTTTGATGCAAAATAGGGCTGGTTAAAGATGTTACCTCCCAAAATAAATATAAAAATCAGGAAAAACAATTTCATTTCCAACCCATTTCAAAATTTGGTCAGTTCTCTTTTAGGGTTCTTATCGAGCCTGAACACTATTGAATGTCTTGTGAGGCTTCCCATTCATCTTGCAAGGTCTCAGGTTGCTCCCACCATGTTCCCCAAAACTTAGCCAGCAGTGGCAATAATTGGAAGGCAATGGGAGGCAGGTTGCAGCGAATAGGCCTGGCAAGAAGGCCTTCATTAAGAACGCAACATCTGCTCCAACATCATCAGAGGCTACAAGGTTGCCATTTCCTTAGTAGAAAGATAGAATACAATGAAATAAATGCATAAATATTTTGCTGTTGTGGTCACTAGGAATGCCATTTCTCAGGGATTCAGTCCAAAACAGATACAGTGGTACTTCATACTTTGAACTTAATTCTTTTCAGGAGGCCGGTTGAACTCTGAGTCGTTCAAAGCCCAAATCAATTTTTCCTATTAGAAATAATGAAAAGTGAATTAATCCATTCCCAGACCCTAAACAATACTCATTTTGATAAACAGCAAATAAGGCCTCCTGAAACAAATTAAGTTCAAAGTAGTAATGTGAAAGTTGGACCATAAGGAAGGCTGAGAGGCAAAGAAGTGAGGCCTTTGATTTGTGGTGCTGGAGGAGACTCCTTGGACTGCAAGGAGATCAAACCAGTCAGTCCTAGAGGAGACCAACCCTGACCACTCTTTAGAAGGGCATATCCTGAAGAGGAAACTCAAATACTTTGGCCACCTAATGAGAAGGAAGGACTTTCTGGAGAAGAGCGTAATGCTGGGAACAACAGATGGCAAAAGAAGAAGGGGACAGCAGAGGATGAGGTGGCTAGATGGAGTCACTGAAGCAGTTAGTGTGAGCTTAGGGGGACTCTGGGGGATGGTGGAGGACAGGAAGGCCTGGAGGAATGTTGTCCATGGGGTCGCAATGGGTCGGACATGACTTCATGACTAACAACAACAAGTAATGTTAGTGCATTTACCGTACCTTAGTAGGAGTGGTTATATATGAGGTGTGATAAAAAATAAGTTTAAATGTTTAAATAAAAAGAATATTATTACAGTAAAAGACACATTGACATTAATCCCCCTCAAAACACTCTCCTTTGCTTTGAACAAACTTATCCCATCGTTCTTGCCACTTTCTGAAGCAGTCCTTGAATTCCTCTTTTGTGAGTGGCTTTGGTTGCACTGTCATTTCTGCCTCAATGTCCTGAAAAGGGGGGCGGGTGCCAGCATGGGATCCCAGATGGGTTGCAGTGGCAGCTACAGGAAGCTCCTCTGCACACGAGGAACCACCATTTCCCCCTCCATTAGAAAGGGGAAGAGGAGGAGCTGTTTCTCGGTGCACTCTTCCTCTGCACTGAGGGTTGCCTGTACGTCTTCACTGCCTTCGTGAACAATGAACAGGGGCAGCAGGAAGTTGTGCTCTCAGCACACTGCTGCATGCTCACATGCCTACTCCTTCACTTCTGCTCATTTTTAAAATTTAAACATTCACTCCCTTTTTTGATCACGCCTCTTATATAACCAAAAACTAAAGTGAAAAAAAAAACCCACTGAAAATGCATCCACTGAAAATGTGAGAGATGACTTGGGCACACAAGAGAGGATGTTTTCTCTGTGACTACATTTTTTTTTACTTTGCTTGCTGTTTGAACTTAGAAGCATCATTTGAACTACAAAGCAATTTTATCTCAATTTGGGATTGTTTGAAGTTAGAGTCATTCAAACTATGAGGCACCACTGTATTTGTTTAGATTAGTATCTAGCAAGTATGTGTTTTATCTCTATATTCTAGAATAGATACAGGCATCCCATCTCAACAGGGACTCTAAGCTTGTGGAGGAAGAAGTCTTTTCAGAGCTGGATACGGAACTCCCATCAATCCTAACCAGCACAGCGAATGGTGAGGGATGATCAGACTGGTAGACCAAAGTGTCTGGAAATGCAAGGTTGTCCACCCTTGATGGTTGTCCACCTCTCTGCTCCTGCAACTGCCTGGCTTGTTTGTACAGAGAAACGAAGAGGAGGCTGTGGTTGGGAAAAGGGCTGCTGGCACTGGAGGGACTCATTCCAAGCAGAGACCAACATCATAAACTTGCATCCTGACCTTTCTGTTTCATCCACACTCACAACTGTGTCATACCAGAAGTGCCATCACCATTTCATTCAGCTTTTTGCTTATGTTTTCTTATTTTTGATACTTAATTATTTATAGCAGAAAAGAGGTGTGTGGAGGTACTGAGAACAAAGAAAAGAGGGGTGGTGGTGGGGAAATATATGAAAGAAAACCAAAACAGTGGTTCCTGTATTGCAGCATCAGATAAGTGGGGGATTCCAGGTCTTTAACAGGTAGATGAAGTTCAGTGATTTTTTCACTTTATTTTCACACAGTGCTCCAGAATCCCACACTTATCTGATGCTGCAATACAGGAACCACTGTATTTGTTTAGATTAGTATCTAGCAAGTATGTGTTTTATCTCTATATTCTAGAATAGATACAGGCATCCCATCTCAACAGGGACTCTAAGCTTGTGGAGGAAGAAGTCTTTTCAGAGCTGGATACGGAACTCCCATCAATCCTAACCAGCACAGCGAATGGTGAGGGATGATCAGACTGGTAGACCAAAGTGTCTGGAAATGCAAGGTTGTCCACCCTTGATGGTTGTCCACCTCTCTGCTCCTGCAACTGCCTGGCTTGTTTGTACAGAGAAACGAAGAGGAGGCTGTGGTTGGGAAAAGGGCTGCTGGCACTGGAGGGACTCATTCCAAGCAGAGACCAACATCATAAACTTGCATCCTGACCTTTCTGTTTCATCCACACTCACAACTGTGTCATACCAGAAGTGCCATCACCATTTCATTCAGCTTTTTGCTTATGTTTTCTTATTTTTGATACTTAATTATTTATAGCAGAAAAGAGGTGTGTGGAGGTACTGAGAACAAAGAAAAGAGGGGTGGTGGTGGGGAAATATATGAAAGAAAACCAAAACAGTGGTTCCTGTATTGCAGCATCAGATAAGTGGGGGATTCCAGGTCTTTAACAGGTAGATGAAGTTCAGTGATTTTTTCACTTTATTTTCACACAGTGCTCCAGAATCCCACACTCCTACACACATATGAAACATTAAAATAATGAGAGACTGTCAACCCTTTTTCTCCCAAGGACTACATGCATCCCTGGAGAGCAGGTTGAGGAGCACACCCATCCATGCACTAGATCATATGAACGCAGATCTCATGTTACTTCTGCATGTCAGGGGTGGGGTAAACTTTCTAAAATCACCTAAACCAAGTGCAGGATTTGAGTGGGGCAGACTCTATGCAGGGATGACTCCTCATGCTCTCTTCTGGATTTAAACAATGCTTTTGCCAGAACAACTGTGTTGAAGAAAGTCTCTGTCCTCTTCTCCAGCACAATGGTTTCAGCAGCGGCAGCATGCTGGGCAGGGGGAATTTAGAATGGGGGACAGCACAAGTTGGCAGCCCATAGCTTTCTCATATGGGATTACTTTGGAGGGGAAGATCCTTACACATACAAGAATACTTTGAAAGGAATCAAGCATAATTTCTATGCAGAGAGCACTGTGGCTGCATTAGAACTTTTCTATCCATAAGCTTAGTAATTAAGAGGTTCCAAATAACCAAACTGAAACTAAATATTATACATCCAAAATTCAACACTTGTAACAGATATACCTGTAACAGATATATATTGTAACAATAACATCTGTGTTCAGAACATAGTAACAACTGGCATATACTTAGAGAATACAGTAGTTTCAGTAATCTAACTTTATTCCAGACATGAAGGGGCCTTTCTCTCTCCGTGTATGTGCATGATAGTAAGGTTGTGTTTTAATTCCTTTGTTTAATGATTAATTTCCAACACACGTATGGCAAGAAGCAGCTTATGGAAAGTTATTCACTGTTCTTTGATGTAGGAGGTAGAAATATTATTTTATTAA